TTGAAAGTGGAAAAATGTTCTAAAATGGCCCCACAGCAGAGAAAATTGTTATAATTCCCTACATGACACTCTCCTGCTATGCTATATCTTTTCTTATGGAGGTTTCAAATTTTTTTTGTTTAAAAAAAATGTTCTATATTTGTCTTCTCTATTTTTGAGTGTTAGGGCTTATATTTTTTCCACAAACCACTTGAGACACAACAACTAGAATCGTAAGGTTAAATCCTGTCAAATTTTGTTGATGGCAAACTACTGAATTCAAATTAAAAATTAGATTTTTCATTGTATATGCAATATACTGAATTATCAGTCCAAAGACCATAATCAGGAAACTTGTTCAATAAGAAGAGAAAATGCAGAGGTCACTAAATTTACAAAGTACCAAAGCTACAGACATACATTTACCCGGGATCCAAGATGAGTAAAATTTGCCAAGTTAGAAAACATGTCGAGGGTGTGTAATTTCTGTTTTGCTTTTGCTAGTGGGATCTGTTTTCCTTCACTGATAAATTAGGGCATTTGCCATATCAGAAATTATCAGAGAACTTAACCCCAGAAGAGATTGCTTTTTAGAATCTGTCATCTTTTGGAAGGTAAGTCACAATGACTGTGATCAAAGCATAATCTGACATCAACTCAAAACATGTTTCATATTTCTGATGTTTTAGACAGTACAGTGGACATATGTACAGGCATTTGAAAAGATTTTCCAACTCTTGCCCCATAATTAACTTGGAAAAGCAAATAACCACATTAATTTTTGCTCCTTAAAAATACATCTTCACGGAGTTGTTTTACTCTGGTGCCTCCTGCTCTTAGGGAGGGTCACTGCAAGAATTGTCAGTTTGTACAGCATTTCTGAAACTTTTGGGCAGCCATAATTTGAAGATAAAGATCTTTCATTCTAGGAGATAAATGCTATTTCCACATGAGTTTAGTTCCAGGAAAAATTTGCATGTACAGCTGATTTTGTACATCACATGAGGAAGAGAGGCTATGAAATCGCCATATTTTACATTCTGCCTTAGCTCCCAAAAATGACGAATCAGAATCAGTGCCTGAATATCATAAATCCGCTCTATGTTCGGCTCCTTCTTCCATTTAATATGGTCTACATTTTCTTTGGCCCCACATCTGTGTTGGAACCTATCAGACAAAGTCATCAGTATAATTACATTGTACTAAATGTAGCCTGTGATCAACACAAAGTTCCCACCCAAATTTTCACAAAGGCACATAAGGCTAGAGGTGGTGCCAATACCATAAAGCCCTGAGAAATAGGCAGAATATAAATCATTAATAAATATAAATGTTATGTTTATTATAAATGTAGCCCTCTGGAAAAAGGATTGAGTTATGATTTCTGTCAGAAGAAGGTCAATATATGTCTCTGATTTATGTGTGTCTAAAATATATAAAACAAATATAATCAGATACATATTGAATTCCAAGCATTTGTAGAATAATTTTTCTGTGAAATTATTAGCATATGTATGTCTATCTTGTACTTATGGTTACATTTTCTGTTTAATTATCATGTTCAGGAAAGCACAGCCCTTTCAGTGGACTTGTAGAGCTGTGTCAAGGAGAGAAGTATGAAACCTGCAGCTTCATTTACTACTCGATTTGTCGTCATTTTAATGAAACGGAATTGTAAATTAAACCACTAAAATGTGCAGTTTTGCAGATTTTATTTTACAGTATTGAGCTTTCAGACCATTTATGTTGTCTTTAAAAACAAATTAATAATGGATTAACAAAGTGTAGATTAAAAAGAGAAACAAAAATATAGGAAGAAGGTCGCACAGCTTTATACATGTATCGAGCCAAACTCAAATGATATATTCTTTAGAATTAGGAGGATTTGTTAACTACCCAGACAGTCAAAACGGAGTTGAGCACGATGCCTTTTTAATGACCTAATGAAGCAAATAAAATGCCATTATATTTTGAGGGTACTGTTTCCTTAGTGAACTGTTAACTTAGAACTTCAGGGTAAAAAAAAATCACTTCAAATATCCATTTGAGTTTTCATTAAAAAGCATTATAATATGATTAATAAAATTACTATCCAATGATATAGTAATGTTTTCTGGGTGCATATATACTTATAGGGAGATGTTCTAAGTGGGGTGATTTGAGGTGATATTTTTTCTTTGTGGTTTTCTATCACTGCTTGAATTCTTTATCAAAAACCTGTATTATTTTCCCAAAACAATAAGAACATGCTAAAAATGTTTTAATTGCCTTATGGTTGCATTTTTAGTCATAAAGCATCCTACCAAGTCAAGTATATCATATCTGGCTTTAAGGATCCAGAATAGGGTAGTGGGAAGAGTACCAGATTCGCTTCTAACCCAAACTCTATCACAAACTTACTACATTAACAAAATAACCTCCAACGTTTATGTAGTGCTTACTATGTGCCAGGATCGGTTTTAAATCTTACTTAAGGTGAGGTGGGTCATATTAAGGTTTGGCTCCAAAATGTTCTGGACAGTTTGCCTGGAAGCCACAGAAAGAATTGAGTAGCAGGGGAAGGTGAATGATCCTTCCCTGTTGAAGTTTCTTACAGACTTCAGCAGATGTTTTCTCTAGTCATTGTCTTATATTTAAGTGTATCTAAGGTTTGCAGAAACCAACAAGAGTACAATTAAATATGACACATGTTTGGGCAAAGTGCAAACATCACATACTGCCAGAAGGGTGGACCCACCCTGTGTAGTTTAATTCTGAGAAGTCTCCCAATTGGAACCAGAAAACAGATGTGACCAATATTTTGCCATTATACATCTTTCATCAGGTGTCAAGGATATCTATATATAACATTTATGAGCTTTGACCAGAAGCATGAAAACTGAAGGAATGGGAAAATCCTTCAGAGATTGTAGCATGTGTATCTTCCTGCTGGAGGATATCCCCAGCTCTGGGAATATTAAGTGCAAGGTGATCGTCACAGTGTAGAAGGTGAAATGTTTGATGAATTGATCCCTGTGTTCCAGTTTATTGGGGAATATAGAATAAATAATTCAGAAATGGAAGTAGGAAAGAAATCTTTTTATTGCAAAGAAGAAGCAAACCCATGCCTATAAGGTAAAAATGATAAAATCAGTGAGTTTAAGAATACAGGGAGAAGAAAATCTTGTCCAATAGCCCTTAACCATTAGCATTTAGATGAGGAAAAGAAAGAGGAACATAGTTTAAGACATAGTTTTCAGATATGTTTACTGTAGACTTTAGAAAGTCATTTTCAAGATGTTTAGGGAAAGGAAAGGTACTATTTGACATCTCTGTTATTATTCCTGTATTATTTCACTACAAACTTAGTGGTTTAACACAGGACAAATTTATTCTCACAGTTCTAAAGGTCAGAAGTTCGGAGTAGGTCTCACAAGACTAAAATCAAGGTATTATCAGGGCTGCATTCCTTCTGGAATACTCCAGGGTAGAATCTGTTTCCTTGCCTTTGCCAGCTTCTAGAGACCACCCTCACCCCTTGGCCCTTGGCCCTCTTCTCTGTACTCAAAGTGCATCACTCCAGCCTCTGCTTTCATTGTCATGTTGCCTTTTTCTGACTGACTCTACTGTCATGTTGCCTTTTTCTGACTGACTCTTCTGCCTCCTCCTTTTCTGTTTAGATTTTATTTATGTATTTGAGAGAGAGGGCGCCCGTGCCTGGGAGTGGAGGGGGTGGGGCAGAAGCAGGTTGAGAGGGAGAAGCAGGTACCCCGCTGAGCAAGGAGCTTGTTGCAGGGCTTGATCCCAGAACCCTGAGATCATGACCTGAGCCAATCCCAGGACCCTGAGATCATGGCCTAAGTGCCAGAGTGTGCAGGGCAGATAGCCGCTGGAGACAAAGCACTTCAAACAACCAATAAAGTGACAGGTAAAGTCACGTTAGAGTGCCGAGAAAGGGGACGGAAGGGGTAGAGACACAGAGGAGAGAAATGGGAGGGTGCTGTGAGGTCAAGGGCAGGGTTTTTATGTTCAGATGCTGATGGAAAGAGTCAGTAAAGAAGAGGAGCTAGAGCAAACTTGATAAGTAAGTAAACTGAACTGAGACCCAGCCAGTTATATCTCATAGGCCATTTAAGCCAGACATATCAGAGTATTTTGTGGAAAACTGCTAAGCGATGTGGATTTCATACTGGTTACATTGTGATGACGCTCAGGGTAGCCTTCTACTATCTCCACAAGCCAGTCAAGCCTGTGGAGTTACTATTTTTCAATGAATCGAAAATATATACACAATTATATTGAATTAAGTCTTTAGTAGCTTCTCAGAAACACTTGTGTTTTAAAATCTGCTGGCAGTTCAGCGTTACACGAATTTTCTTAGGGACTATTTCTCTGAAAACACTTTAAAATGCAATTTGCCGCTGTGATCAGCAATAGGGTAAGGCTGTAAAATTTCCACTGTTCTAAATTCCATTTCCCTTGATCTGCCGTGCCTGGACTGTAATTTTTTTTTTTAAGCCATTTATATTCTTGTTGGACTTTTTTGCTGGAGTATACATTGCTAGTGGTTTTATTTGATCACCGGCAACGAGCTCTGATATTCTTTTTCTGATACTGAGCATTTCAAGCAGTCCCCTAATGAGTCTGCCTCTGTGCGCCAGGGCTGTTAACTTTGATCGATTTCTTGTTGTGAGGATAAGCTTCCAAAAATAACTGACTCATTTTCCTTAGGGTTTTTCCATTTTTATGGAATTTTATTATTTCTAAATTGTAAATTTTAGTTTGCCTACCCAGATCTTCTCTACTATAAATTTAGCTTCCCAATTTAAGTAACATTTGAATACTGGGGAATTGGGGACTTGGGTGCACTTACTTAGCAAACATGTATGGAGAAGTACTATGTCACATGGACCTGGGTGTGAGGTGCCAGACTCTCCGAAGAGGTTCTACACAGAGCTGACATTTAAGGCAGAGTCAGACAAGTCTGTGATTAGCATTCAGTGAGATACACGCTGAATTGTGCTGTGGTAATTGTGCTGTGGTACACAACCAGGAAGGACTTGCCAAAGGTAATGATACTTGAGTTCGATTTTAAAGAATCAGTAGGATTTTAGCTAGGTGAAGAAGGGAGGGAAGATCTGAGTTAGGAGAACAAAATGCTTATTTAAAAAAATAGTCTGTATTTTACATAAAGAAGCTGGGGTCTGTGAAACAAATGCATTAGGAAAATGATGGCAGGGAGAATGCCTCACTTAAGAACACCAGCCTCCTCCTAGGATTATGGTCTCTATTCCTTTTCTTCAATCAGCCACCTACCTTTCCCTTGATAATCTTCTAAGTCCCAGCTGTGTTCATAATGCCTCTCTCAGGAAATCTTCAGTGGCTCACCATTGCCGTGTGATGACATTCAGACCCTAAATCCAGTCTTCATGGGCTTAGGGCCTACTGCTGATCCTCAAAACCCTATTCTTTCTTCCAGGGGCCCAACTCATTGTTCTTTCTTCTTACCTTGCCCTTCCATTCACCAGTCAGAAATAATCTAGTTTCTGTCTGCCACCATAACATATTTTTGATCTGCTCTTACAACACCAAACCACACTCTACCACACAACATAGTTTAGTGGTGTGCTGCCACCCCCAAAGTGACCAGCTGGTGCTAGGAACAGAGATCACCCTATTTGTGGAATGAATCAATGCATCAAAGAATGCTGACGCAAATTAAAAGTAGAATCAGTCTTCTCATTAAAGAGATTAAAATCTTACTGGGGAGACAATACATGTAGACAAGAAAACTAGAAACGTTCATTTATAAGACAATAGAACAATAATTGTCAAGGGCGCCTGGGTGGCTCAGTTGGTTAATCGACTGCCTTCGGCTCAGGTCATGATCCTGGAGTCCCAGGATCGAGTCCCGCATCAGGCTCCCTGCTCAGCAGGGAGTCTGCTTCTCCCTCTGACCCTCCCCCCTCTCATGTGCTCGCTCTCTCTCTCACTGTCTCTCAAATAAATAAATAAAATCTTTAAAAAAAAAAAAAGAATAATTGTCAAAAAGCATATAAATGTGGAGTGTGTGTCACAGCGAAAGAGGAATCCTGTAAACGGTGTCAAAAGAATCCTGTTTCCCAAAATGAGATTCCAGAATTGTAGCTTAGATAGACAGGTGCCAAAAGAAAGCACTTTTGCTGTGAAACGTACTTTAGTGACATTTGAAGGTCAAATTATGAATGCAGAGTCACGGACTTGAGTCTGCGAATAGTCCCAGCCCACCCTCTGCAAGCCTCTCACACTGGCTCTGCACAAAAACAGAATGTGACTGCAATAATCTACAGAGCAGATCATCTGCACTGATAACAGGCCATTGACTAGTTTTAATTTACCTGCCTATTGAAATTCTGTTTTCCTAGTAGTGGTTATTAAAGTGACAAAGAAAAGGACTGCATTTCTTTTTTTGTCCCAACTTGAATATTGTAAGAGCATCTGCTGAGAGGAAAGAAAATGAACCCAAGACATCTCTGTCTCAAATCAAATAATATTGTGTGATAAATTGGACTGCTGTTCACGTTTACTATTTTCAGATGTCATACAATAGAAATAAGGTGTCCCATATAGGTTTCTCCCCCCTCAAATTCAAAGTGAGCCTATGAAGCAATACAGCTAGCTCTTAAGGATTCAGTCAGATTATAGACTTAGTGATACTGATTTTGTCTTCAGACCACATGGGAAGAAACAGGGATGAATCAAATGACAGGCAGGAAGAGAGATTCATGAGGCATCCCGTCCACCAGGAAGCCCGGCTGGCTGCCAAATGCAGAATTGGTTCGGTTGTCTCTCATTTCCTTTGTGTATCGGTATCTTAACTGTCCTCAAAGGAATATTATATGTGTAATCGCAAATATTCTTTGTAAATGTTTCATAAGAAGAAAAATCCTATTCTGGAAGCTTTCAGTCATAACTTGGCTGTGCAATATACTAGCCCATCGTGTAAAATTTCTTCCCCACTGCAGGTATTCATACCCAGAGCTGTTAAATTTCAGTTCTCTGGACTACATAAGTTAATTCATCGAAATCCTGGTCAAAACCACCTCCTTCTTTAAGTCTTCATGTTTTGTTTTCATTTCTATTGCCTTTAATTTTATACTGTCTAATTTTAAAATGAAAAGTAGACATAACTTGGCAGCCCTTGGGCAGCACCACAGGAGCTGTTCTGAGTCTCATTTTGTACACACAAAGTCACCTATCTACATCCTAGATGAAGACATACCTTTGGGACCAGACCAGTTGTGTGACTTGGTAAAACACAGTGAGAATTTTTCTGTCTGGATTCTGAATTTAAGCTAAACATAGACCTCACGTACTCAGACTTTCTCTTGGGAATCTGATAGACTGATGGATGCAGCATGTGGGAGTGTGGGGGAAAACCACAGTGCGATGTATTATTTTCTTTCTTGCCGCTCTGAGTATAATGACCTTTTTCAAATTCTGTCTCTTCAAGGTGCACTTAAAGGCTTTGGGGGATTTGACACACATAAACACCAAATGCAAAGATCACAAGCAAAGTAAATGTATAAGGCTAAAAATAGGAAAAACAGGACCAGTTGCATAATGCAAAGTGTGACCCTGATACTGTGACCATATTCTAGAAGTTCCAGGATCATTGTTTATAAAAGGTTCACTATTTTATTGTTCTTTTCTAGTAGTTTCTATAGGTAGAATTTTTTTCACATATTAGGTGCTTAATAAGTAATTTTTAATTAACATTTTCATTTTAATTCCAGTGTAGTTAACATACAATGTTACAGTAGTTTCAGATGTACAATATAATGATTCAGCAATTCTATACATTACTCAGTGCTCATCACAGTAAGTGTACCCTTAATCTCCATCACCTATTTCCCCCATCCCCCTACCCACATTCCCTCTGGAAACCACCGCTGATCTATATGTAAGAGTTTGGTTTTTGCTTGTCTCTTTTTTTCCTTTGTTCATTTGTTTTGTTTTTTTAAATTCCACATACGAATGAAATCATACGGTATTTGTCTTTCTCTGACTGACTTATTTCACTTAGCATTATACCCTCTAGATCATCCATGTTGTTGCAAACGGCAAGATTTCATTCTTTTTTTATGACTAATATCCCATTCTTCTTTATCCAGTCATCTTTGGATGGATACTTGGGCTGCTTTCATATCTTGGTGATTGTAAATAATGCTGCAATAAACATAGGGGTGCTTTTGTAATGAATATTTTAAACTGTTTTTAATTTTGAGGCCATGAAAATCTTGAAATAATTCATTAAATATTTCTAGTGGTCTAAAAAAGTATGTACTTTTTCAGGAATGCCTTGCTCTCAAGTTATTTTTGTACCATTAGTATGTTTTAAAAATATGAAATAAATAGATAAATGATGAGTTACATAACAGTTAATAGTATAACTCAATCTCTGCTTAAGTTCTAAGAGTTCCAATCCTTAGTTTCTTTTTTGTAAGAGTTTGGCATTAAAAGCGCTTAAAGGAAAAAGGGATTTTATTTGGGCATTAATGTAAAATTTATGGGATAATATCCTTAAAGTAATACAAAGATAGTTTATTGAATTTTAGTTTGTTTTATTAAAAAAGGCTACGATAGAAAATGTGTCTTCGGTATTGGAAAAAAACCACATGCTTTAAGTGTACACACTTTTATCCAAGCTTTCCTTCTTCTAACAAATGCTCATCACAGGGGGTGCTGGTCCTGTGAAAATGATTGGACAAAAATCTCACCAAGATAATAAAGCAGAATATTAATCCTCAGAGGTGTTTTCATATAGTAAAGAGAGTGAATGTTTAGAAAATTGCATTATTTTAATTTGATAATGCTGAAAGAGTTAGTCGATCCTTTATGTAACGATAAGATTTAAAGATTTTTTTCCATAGGTCATGTCAAACATAGTTTCCCTGGCTGGATAATTGCCCTAGCAAATGTGTAATTATTTAATAGCAAGGTTATCCTCAAGCATGAAGCATTTTTTTTTTCTTAAGTAGGCTTCACACCCAGCATGGAGCCCAAGCATGAAGCATTTTTTTTTTTAAGATTTTTATTTATTTATTTGACAGAGAGAGACACAGCAAGAGAGGGAACACAAGCAGGGGGAGGGGCAGAGGGAGAAGCAGGCTTCCCGCCGAGCAGGGAGCCCGATGCGGGGCTCGATCCCAGGACCCTGGGATCATGACCTGAGCCGAAGGCAGCCGCTTAACCAACTGAGCCACCCAGGTGCCCCGCATGAAGCATTTCTGATCATCTTTCCCCATCTACTTCCTTTGGTGCCCATCATGTCCTCTGCAGACCTTTGTTATCTCTCCTACAAGATCACTTTTTACCACCATAGTACAAACTCCTTAAGGACAGGAACCTGGTCTTCTCTAGCACTGTCAATGTTTGCTACAAATTAGGTGTCCAGAAAATGTTTGCTGAATCAGTGATCTTGTCCTTTCTTTAACATTCCCAGAGGAAGAGGTTCTGTCACCTCCCTATATGCTAACATCCTAAAAATTCCTATAGACAGGAATTCTGCTGTCTCATTTGCTAAATAATTTAGACCCACTTTCTTCAGCATTGTCTATTTTTCTTAGTCCTAATCACACTATCAACTAAAATGTTTATCTACTGTCACTCTCTTGAATACTATTAGCATAAACACAGTAGATGCTTTTGAGTTTTTAGTAAATGATGATCCTTTTTTGAGTCTGGGCCTTATCTTTCTGCCATTTATCTTTTAAAACAGGAAGACTTTTCTTTTTCATAAATCATCTTCCTGAACCATTGTTGGTTCAGCATGAGTGGAATTCTTTGTTATTATTGTTGGAAAGAACTTTGGTGAGACCATTTTTAGAGGAAAAAAATAGATATTGGTATAAAAATGAACAGCTGTTCTTCCACTGTGATCAAACAAGAATAAAATTACTTTTAGTACAAACAATTCAACTTTATTTTTTTAAAGCTTTTTTTTTTTTTTTAAGGGGAGGGGAGGGACAAGAAGGGAGGGAAAGAGAATCTTGAGCAGGCTCCATGCCCAGTGTGGAGCCTGACGTGGGGCTCAATCTCATAACCTTGAGATCATGACCTTGAGATCATGACCTGAACTGAAATCAAGAGTCAGACACTTAACCAACTAAGCCACCTAGGTGCCCCAGAATTCAACTTTAGTTTAAAGGAAATACTGAACATTCATTTTAAAACATTACTGATTAGTATATTATTTGATAATATGACATAAATAGGATCCGGAATATGAAGAAAACTTTTATAGAATAGTCGGGGTCCCTGATTAGGTTTTAGACAATAACTTCATTATTTAGCATATGGCAGTTTGATGAGATTTTTACATGTCTATTCTACAGTTAATGTAATGGTCTGTAGAAACTAGAAACATTCAGAAAATAAAACCAATTCCTTATCTGCGTAATGGTTGCTTTGCCTGTTGTTGTGTTAATAGAATCAGTCACCAAAATAACTAAACTGCAGAAAACCTAAACTAGTTAGCTTTAAAGAAATAATTAGTTCTGAGGTTATGGCTGGAGAGGCCTTTCTTTCTCAAAGACACATTTGCTCCCAAAAAGGTTTTCGCAGAGGCGCTGGTCACCCTTGCTTTAAGCAAGCCAAGCAGTGAAGCAGGCACAACTTCTCCACAAAATGACATCACTGCCTGTTGAATAATCAGACTGCACACTGCTCTAGTGTAGGATTCCGTAATTACTCTGATTGTTTCCACAGGGATAGAATCTGAAGGACCTCTTCCGTTAGTGATGGTAGTAGTAAAATACTCAAAGGTGGCCTCCATTTTCCGTTATCAGTGATTGCTGGGTTGCTGTTTGTGCAGAAAACAGATCCTCTGGTCCCTGTGTGGTATTTACTGCTCCCTTCGTCTCTGCTGGTACTGCTGATGTCCCGTCTAGTGCATGTTTTATAGATTACCCCCCTCGGATGGGTTCTGTGCCTGGAGGGAATTGTGCTGCTTTTGTTCTTGCCCTTAACTCACAGTGTGCCTAAATTCCCTGTTGTTTCCACCATTTGCTACGTTTTCATTTAGGATCATTAACATCTATCATTTTGGTGAGTTCTACTTTTTAGGCATATACAGTAGTTCTTTTTATTCTAATGGACGCTCTTTTCCCTCGATTCTCCTTTCTGACGGCACCAGGAAGCCCGCCACCCCCTCTTGGTGTGTTAGCATCTGCTCCCTCTGTCCCAGGCCTGCTCTCTCCTCGTGGGAGCAGCCTGGGGAGTCGAGCCTGTTCTTCCCTATACCCTCCTCCCTCCTGCCTCTTCCCTTCCACTAAGCAGCTTGAAGCCATCTAGGTTTTTGTCTTCATTTTTTTTTAAACAGAATGAATCAAGTTATTTAGATGTAATTGTGTCATGAATTTCTTTGCTCCCCACCCCTTCCCCTTTGATGGATCCCCATTTTACATTATATGAAATATGTCCTTGAATAATTCTTTTAGATGTGTCCTATTTTGATCATGCATCATTTATCTAGTTCATTCCAGAAGAAGGTACATCCCCCGGGGACATGAATTCTTGTCTGTTTTGTCTCTGCTTTGGCTAGAACAGTGCCTGGCAAATATTAAGTGCTAAATAGATAGCACTATTTTTAAGGAATCAAATCCGTTTCTCTCTTGGCCTTCTCCCCTCAACTTTAAATCTTTTTAATGGAAATGATAAACTGTCTACCACATGTTTCTGCTTGGTGATACCAAGTATACCCCACAATAGTTAATCAGTATCCATATCACTTACTGTGATTTGTTCTAATCTGGTATCAGAATTCCCTCAAAGCATCTTGGGGAAGTTTACCACTAAATTAACTAGCTTCCATATGCCAGTTGTTTAAAATTTATTCTTCTTTTCATATCAGGTTAGAAGTGGTAGTGCAGAAGCTTGGGGCCAGGTAGGAATGTGGGAATGGCATTGGCTAGACACACAGATATTCCAAGAAGCAGAATTTAGAAGAGAGAGCAGTCAATAGCCTGGACATCATTGGTTAAAAAAAGCTTGAAAGAGGGAAAACTCAGCTAATGAAAAGTGAGATGCTAGAGAGAAAGCAAATTGAAAACCGAAGATCCAAAGCTAAACTGGGAGAAATCATTGCACCAGTAAGAAGGTGCCTGCCCCAGTTTTCTGTTAGGGATGGTTGAGAAAGAAGGAACAGTGAGTTTTCTTTGGCCTCTTACCTCCAACTCTGTCCTACCCATCCTTGCTGTTGAGCCGTCATTCTCACTGTTAATAAATCTGTTGTACCACTTACCTATTGCTTTATAAAAATGCCACGCCAAATACAGTGACTTAAAACAACAATCATTTATTTCTTTTTGTTCCAACAGTTTGGGTCATCAGTTTGGGCTGGGCTCGGCCGAACGGCTTTCTGCAATTCTCCCTTGGGGTGACTTATGTGGCTTCAGATACCCAGTAGCCTGACTATGGCTAGAGGGTTTAGTTTACTCTCACTCACATGGCTGGAGCCTTCCAGTGGACTGTAGGCTGCCCCCCACTACTCTGCCCCCCACCCCACACACACACAGTTTCTCACCCAGGCTTCTTTACGTGGTATGAGAGTGTTCCAGGAAGACAGAAGTAGAAACTGAAAGTCTCTGGAGGCCTACACTCCAGAACTTCCTAATATTACTTCTGCCAAATTCTGCTTATCAAAGTAACGGGTTACCCTAGACACAGGGTGGAGAAGTACAAAATATCATGGCCGTATTTTTCATACCACAGCTGTCTCTCAGAGCTTACTCCTAACCCTCACACTTGTAATTTCTAATACCGTAGTTTATATGCTTACATAGCTATCTCTTCTTAGAAAGTTGAACTGCTTGAGGACAGGAATTAGGTTCTCTTTATCTGTATATAGCACATAGCAAAGGCCTGGGTACCTAGTAAGGTCTTAATAAAGGAAAGTTGAACCAATGAACGACTGATTAGTTAATATGTACATATATATGTCTATATGGATATACGTATGTATATCCTTGTTTATTTTTAGTAGCTAGATTCTGTAATTATAAGATTAATGGACTAGTTTAAAAAGTACAAAGTAAAATTAGAAGTATGTCTTTTGGTGTAAAATACTGAGAGTTTGGGGGCATCTGGGTGGCTCAGTCGATTAAGCATCCAACTCTTGATCTTAGTTCAGGTCTTGACCTCAGGGTCGTGAGTTCAAGCCCCATGTTGGGCTCTACACCGGGCATGGAGCCTACGATAGATAGATAGATAGATAGATAGATAGATAGATAGATAGATAGAT